AATATTTCAGGTTTCAGCATTGCTCATTCAATTTATCTCACTCTGTAGTGGGGGGCATGGGAGTGGGATCTGAAGCTTCTATTTCCTTGTTTATTTCCGTAATAATTGACCACATGACCACATATTTGCTATAATTTTGATTTTTTACTGCATTATGCGACATTATGACATGCTTTTCACATGGAACAAAGCTCAGTGTAAGCAGCCATTGATGAGTTTGACAGACTGAAATAGCTTGGATTCAGCGTTGCCCACACAATTTATCACACGGCACGGCGATGTGGCCCATCGCGCTGACCGATAGGAATACGCCCGCAACCGCACCTCTGATTACTCTCTGTGAGTTCGCAGGTTCGAATCCCATGTGGGGATAGTTATGTGCGAGAGGATTGCTGGACTCATCGCCGCCGTTGGATGGTTCACGTAACCGCTGGTCTGTTACGGCTTCCTCCACCATTAAGTCTGTGCTCCCGAAAACAAGTAACTAACTAATCCCATACCCGACATGGAATGGTAACCAGCCGAGGGGCCGTGGTTCGCCATATGGACAAGCCGTCTCATCGGCTTCCTTCTCCTCCTGGATAATTATGTAAAAATCATCCTAATTATCCACACCCTGAGGTGATGTGTAGGGAGTGGAATCTGAAAATTTTATTCTGTGATTCAATGGATATTTTTTCAAGCTTCGGTTATTTGTTTATTACCGTAACAATGTCCGATCACTAATAAGTCAACAATAACGCAACAATCGCAATTTGTGCAGCCACTCGGACAATTCATTTGCTCAGACAGATGATCTGCATGGCTGTGAACATTGCCCCATTTTCGGGATTTCGCGTGTTATTTGTCAGTTTTTGGTTCTTTCCAAAAACCTCTTCCGGTTAAAATCATTCTCCCACGTAGTCCATTCCAAATTCATCATTGAATGATTGCCAAACCAACAATAGAAGCAGAATTTTGTGTAACTCAAGTTTGCTTCATTGTCTTTAATTAACCGCTTATCGTGATTAACGCTGTGGTGAATAATCGGATTTGTTGGTGTTTAATCGGACATTCGCTGCAAAATATTTTGACCGAAACAACACGCCTGTTTCAAAATTTGACTGCTGATGCATGAGCCATATTATTGTGTGTTGTCGGTTCACAGGCGTAAAAGATTGGGAACCACTGTTTCTTCTTTATCCATGCAATGACAGTCCTGCTTATATATCTGAGTGACTGTTCATACTTATTTGATGCAGGTTTTCTGTATTGAAGACAATGCATCCATATCGCCCACTGCATTACCAACTGCATATATAAGTCAACTTCAACAAAATTCCTTATGAAAAGTCAAATACTCGTACACTATCTTTCCTCTATTGTGAGCAAATATTTTTACAATATAATTCAATAATATTTTGATATCAGATTTTATTATGCGACATTATCACATGCATTTTGCTAAGAACGAACCTTTGTGCCAGCAGCCTTCAGTGAGTTTTACGGGACGGAATATCTCAGGCTCAGCATTGCCCATACAACTCATCACACCCTAAGGTGGTGGTGGGCATGGGAGCGGAATCTGAGAATTTTAAACACTATGATGCAATGGATATGCAATATATGCACCCGCTCAGACACCTAATTTGCTCAGACAAGTATTCAGCATAGTTGCGAGCATTGCCTTGTTTTCATGGTTTTGCACGTTATTTGCAGTTTTCTGTTGTTTCAAAAAAAAACTTAAACTCATATCTCTGGTCGTAATATTTGATTTGCCCCTATTTTTTATTCCAAATTTATTCTTGAATGATCGCCAAAGCAACCATGAAAACGAATATCACTCAAGTTTTAGTCATCGTTTTTAATTAACCGCTTGCCGGGATTAACGCTTTGGCGAATAAACCTATATTTTTTAATGTTTAATGGTATTTTTGGATGTTCCCAGTCCGCATGGTAATGATTGGTAACCATTGTTCCAGGCTCTATCCATGCAGTGACAGTCTTGCTTATATATCTGAGTGACTGTTCACTTTATGTTTGATGCGGAGGTTTCCTGTATTGGAGACAATGCATTGCTATCGCCCACTGCAATAACAACTGTTTAAGTCAACTTGAATGAAGTGACCCTTCAAAAAGTCAAATACTGCTTTTTTCTATTTTGTATGTGAATATTTTTTCAATAGAATTTTACAAAATTGGTCTCTGGTATTTGAAAAAGCTTAATTACCAAGAAGGCTTTTCTTCATGTAGTATTTATGTTCTAATTAACTAGGAAAATTTTATTCAGGTATCAGATTTTGTTTGGATTGATTTTCTATCATAACAACACACTGTTGAATATTTGATAAAAAAATTTGGTCATCTCGATCCATCAGTTTTTATGGTTTTCTTTTTTATTCCTCATGCCTTTAGTCTTTGTCAGGATCACATTTATGAACAAGTTTATCTACATTAGTTCACTGATCTTATTTATTTCAGTTGGATATATTAGATATCAGTGACAATTATAATCTTGGCACTGCTGGCTTTGGTGAAGTTGGATTAGTTGTTTCAAATTGCGAGGTGAAGGAATTGCATGCTCGGAATTGCAATCTGACAGCAAAAGAAATAAGAGCATTCAAGGAAAACACTGGTAATGCAAAGGTAAAGACCAGTTTATATACCTGACCATATATTTGCTATAATTTCATACTTTTTGCTGCATTATGCGACATTATCACATGCTTTTCACATGGAACAAAGCTTAGTGTGAGCAGCCATTGATGAGTTTGAGAGACTGAAATAGCTTGGGTTCAGCATTGCCCACACAATTTATCACACGGCACGGCGATGTGGCTCATCGCGCTGACCGATAGGAATACGCCCGCAACCGCACCTCTGATTACTCTCCGTGAGTTCGCAGGTTCGAATCCCATGTGGGGATAGTTATGGGCGAGAGGATTGTTGGACTCCTCGCCGCCGTTGGATGGTTCACGTAACCGCTGGTCGATCACGGCTTCCTCCACCATCCAGTCTGTGCTTCCGAAAACAAGTAACTAACTAATCCCATATCCGACATGGAATGGTAACCAGCTGAGGGGCCGTGGTTTGCCATATGGTTAAGCCGTATCATCGGCTTTCTTCTCCCCCTGGATAATTATGTAAAAATTATCCTAAATATCCACACCCCTAGGTGATGGGCATGGGAGTGGAATCTGAAAATTTTATTCTGTGATTCCATGTATATTTTTTGAGCTTTGGTTATTTGTTTATTACCAGAATAATGACCAATCAATAATAAGTCAACAATAACGCAACAATCGCAATTTGTGAAGCCACTCAGACAATTCTTTCGCTCAGACGGATGATCTGCATGGCTTTGAACATTGCCCCGTTTTCGGGGTTTCGCTTGTTATTTGTCAGTTTTCGGTTCTCTCCAAAAACTATTTCCGGTTATAATCATTCTCCCACGTAGTCCATTCCAAATTCATCATTGAATGATTGCCAAACCAACAATAGAAACAGAATTTTTTGTAACTCAAGTTTGCTTCATTGTCTTTAATCAACCGCTTATCGTGATTAACGCTGTGGTGAATAATCGTATTTGTTGGTGTTTAATCGGACATTCGCTGCAAAATATTTTGATCAAAACAACACGCCTGTTTCATAATTTGACTGTTGGTGCATGAGCCATATTATTATGTATTGTCTGTTCACAGGCGTAAAAGATTGGGAACCGCTGTTTCTGCTTTATCCATGCAATGACAGTCCTGTTTATATATCTGAGTGACTGTTTATACTTATTTGATGTGAAGGTTTTCTGTATTGAAGACAATGCATTCATATCGCCCACAGCATTAACAACTGCATATATAAGTGAACTTGAACGAAATTCCATATGAAAAGTTAAATACACTATCTTTCCTCTATTGTGAGCAAATATTTTTTCAATAGAATTTAACAATATTATGATATCAGATTTTATTATGCGACATTATCACATGCATTTTGCTAAGAAGGAAGCTTTGTGCAAGCAGCCTTTGGTGAGTTTTACGGGCTGAAATATCTCAGGCTCAACATTGCCCATACAACTCATCACACCCTAAGGTGGTGGTGGGCATGGGAGCGGAATCTGAGAATTTTAAACACTACGATGCAATGGATATGCAATATGTGCACCCGCTCAGACACTTAATTTGCTCAGACAAATATTCAGCATAGTTGTGAGCATTGCCTTGTTTTCATGGTTTTGCACGTTATTTGCAGTTTTCTGTTGTTTCAAAAAAAAAAACTTAAACTCATATCTCTGGTCGTGATATTTGATTTGCCCATATTTTCTATTCCAAATTTATTCTTGAATGATTGCCAAAGCAACCATTAAAACGAATATCACTCAAGTTTTAGTCATCGTTTTTAATTAACCGCTTGCCGGGATTAACGCTTTGGCGAATAAACCTATATTTTTTAGTGTTTAATCGTATTTTTGGGTGTTCCCAGTCCGCATGGTGATGATTGGTAACCATTGTTCCAAGCTCTATCCATGTAGTCACGGTCTTGGTTATATATCTGAGTGACTGTTCATTTATGTTCGATGTGGAGGTTTCCTGTATTGGAGACAATGCATTGCTATCGCCCACTGCAATAACAACTGTATAAGTCAACTTGAATAAAGTGACCCTTCAAAAAGTCAAATACTGCTTTTTTCTATTTTGTTTGTGAATATTTTTTCAATAGAATTTTACAAAATTGGTCTCTGGTATTCGAAAAAGCTTAATTACCACGGAAGACTTTTCTTCATGTAGTAGTATATCTGTCTTAATAAATTGGGAAAAATTTTATTCAATCAGCTATCAGATTTTGTTTGGGTTACATTTCCATCAAAACAACAGACAGTTGAATTTTTGATAAAAAATTTGTCCATTTTGATCAATCAGTTTTTAAAGTTTGCTTTCTTCATTTCTCATACTTTTATTTCTTATCACAATCACATTTTGTAACCGAGTTCATCTACATTAGTTCACTGCTCTTATTTATTTCAGTTGGATAAACTAGATGTCAGTTGGAATGATAGTCTTGGAACTGCTGGCTTTGGTGAAGTTGGATTAGTTGTTTCAAAATGTCAGGTAAAGGAATTCGAGGCTTTGGATTGCAATCTGACAGCAGAAGAAATGAAAGCATTGAAGGAAAACACTAGTGATGCAAAGGTAAAACCAGTTCACATACCTGAACATATATTTGCCATCATTTAGAAATGTCAAGTCAAGTTTATTTTTTCAACCGGTAAAAAATATCACAATCATAAATTACGACAAAAAAAATAATTCACTTACTAGAGAAGAGAAGTCGCGACGAATCAAACTGGTTATCGAGCAGCGACACCCAAATGTTTTGGAGATTGCTTTATTATACGACATTATCACATGCTTTACACTCGTAACAAAACTCTGTACAAGCAGCCATTGATGAGTTTGACAAACTGAAATATTTCAGGTACACCATTGCCCACACTATTTAACAAACCATGAGGTGGAGAGCATAGGAATGGATTCTGAAAATTTTAATCTGTGATGTAATGGATATTTTTCCCGAGCTTCGATTTTCTTGTTTATTTCATGAACAGTGACCAATCACTAAAAGGTCAACAATAACGTAACAATTTTTTCATAAATAAGTTGTTTATTGAATATCTTAAATGTCACAACTTCCTACGCGCTCCAATTTATGGCAATAAAAATTATTCCCAGAAAATCTACGATAGACTGGGCATAAATTAGCTAACAATCTGTTTAGAGCCATCCATGCCGCTAACAGATTGTCAGCTAATTTAATCCCAGTCTATCGTAGATTTTCTCTAAACCCGTTTGTAAGCGCCATATCTCCAAAACAATCCCCAATCATGCATCACAAATTTTGCAATACTAAAGTATATGAAAAATTTTTCGGAAATATCTATATCTATACAGTTATGACCAACGCTTATTAAAATAATTTTCTAAATTAAGTGAATATTGAATGGAAATTTTAATTATACAAATTCAACTCTGAAATTGTGACATAATATCAGAAATTAACTGTTGAAAAAATAAAATAAAACTGAAAAATAATGGATTTTATCATTGGTATAAAGTTTTTAAGAAATTTATGAATGTGAAAAATAATTAATTGGTCGAGAGCTTGAGTCACTAAATTTCCTGGAAGCTTCACTTCCAGCTAAAATGATAGGCTTGGCTCCAGCTCCAACAAAACATCACAGCTTCGACCCTTTTTCGCAGTGCTTAGCACAATTGGTAAATCGTTGAACTGAGTGATATCTTAGTAATTAACTCAAATTATTTGGGGTAATAGTGAGTGTATAAAGGCTTTTATTAGAGAAACAGGCAAGAGAAAACAATACAATAATATTCTTTGCAGTTTCACAAATTACTTGAGGCGGCGTGAAAATGTTTATATTTTCTTAGCGGGTATATTTTTGCCATTTTTCTTTTATACTCTGATAACACTTTGCACTGCTGATTTTGGTTAAGTTGGATAGCTAATTTACAATGTCAGATGAATAAATATTTAATTTAATTAATCGCTTGCTGGGATTAAAGCTGTGGCAAATAATCGTATTTGTTGGTGTTTAATCAAACATTCACTACAAAATATTTTGATCGAAATACCACATCTGTTCCATTCATTTCGAAAATTTGACTGGTCCATGAGCCATATTTTTTTGTGTTGCCAATCCGCAGGGGTAAAAGGTTGGAAACTAATGTTGTAGGCTCTATCCATGCAGTGACTGTCCTGCTTATATATCTGAGTGACTGTTCATCTTAGTTTGATGCCGAGGTTTGCTGTTTTGAAGGCAATGCATTACTATTGCCAACTGCAATAACAACTTTATATAATAATCAACATAAACAAAACGCCCATTGTAAAAGTCAAATACTGCTTTTTTCTATTTTGTATGCGAATATTTTTTCAATAGAATTTTACTGATTTGGTCTCTGGTATTCCAAAAAGATAAGCTTAATTACCAAGAAACCTTTTCTTCATGTAGTATATATGTCTTGGGAAAATTTTAATGAGCTATCAGTTTTTGTTTGGGTTACATTTCCATCAAAACAACAGACAGTTGAATTTTTGATAAAAAATTTGTCCGTTTTGATCAATCAGTTTTTAAAGTTTGCTTTCTTCATTTCTCATACTTTTATTTCTTATCACAATCACATTTTGTAACCGAGTTCATCTACATTAGTTCACTGCTCTTATTTATTTCAGTTGGATAAACTAGATGTCAGTTGGAATGATAGTCTTGGAACTGCTGGCTTTGGTGAAGTTGGATTAGTTGTTTCAGAATGTCAGGTGAAGGAATTCAAAGCTTGGGATTGCAATCTGACAGCAGAAGAAATGAAAGTATTCAAGGAAAACACTAGTAATGCAAAGGTAAAACCAGTTCACATACCTGAACATATCTTTGCCATAATTTAGAAATGTCAAGTCAAGTTTATTTTTTCAACCAGTAAAAAATATCACAATCATAAATTACGACAAAAAAAATAATTTACTTACTGGGGAAGAGAAGTCGCGACGAATCAAACTGGTTATCGAGCAGCGACACCCAAATGTTTTGGAGATTGCTGTATTATACGACATTATCACATGCTTTACACACGTAATAAAACTCTGTACAAGCAGCCATTGATGAGTTTGACAAACTGAAATATTTCAGGTACACCATTGCCCACACTATTTAACAAACCATGAGGTGGAGGGCATAGGAATGGAATCTGAAAATTTTAATCTGTGATGTAATGGGTATTTTTCCCGAGCTTCGAATTTCTTGTTTATTTCAGGAACAGTGACCAATCACTAAAAGGTCAACAATAACGTAACAATTTTTTCATAAATAAGTTGTTTATTGAATATCTTAAATGTCGTTATAACTTCCTACGCGCTCCAATTTAATGCAATAAAAATTATTCCCAGAAAATCTACGATAGACTGGGCATAAATTAGCTAACAACCTGTTTAGAGCCATCCATGCCGCTAACAGATTGTTAGCTGATTTATGCCCAGTCTATCGTAGATTTTCTCTAAACCAGTTTGTAAGCGCCATATCGCCAAAACAATCCCCAATTAGGCATCACAAATTTTGCAATACTAAAGTATATGAACAATTTTTCAGAAACATCTATATCTATACAGTTATGACCAACGCCTATTAAAATAATTTTCTAAATTAAATGAATATTAAATGGAAATTTTAATTATACAAATTCAACTCTGAAATTCTAACATAAAACAGAAATTAACTGTTGAAAAAATAAAACTGAAAAATAATGCATTTTATCATTCGTATAAAGTTTTTAAGAAAATTATGAATGTGAAAAATAATTAATTGGTCCTGAGCTTGAGTCACTAAATTTTGTGAAAGCTCCGCTTCCAGCTAAAATGATAGGCTTGCCTCCAGCTCCAACAAGACATTACAGCTTCAACCCTGGTTTGTAGCGCTTGGCACAATTAGCAAATCATTGAACTGTGTAATCACTTGTGTGAGCGTGTGGAATATTTCAATTATTTTAGGTGAGTGAGCACATACCACTTCTTCTTGGCAAAACCTCCCATCTTATATACCGTACGCATCAAACCTTATCTAAGGTTTTGTTTGCTCTCCTGATTTCATATTCAGTTTTTATTTATTTTTTTTACCAATCATGTTATTGTTATGCTGATAATGGAGTCAAAATAAACTGATACTTACAGGTAATTGCTTTATATTCTCCGGAGTTATAATGAGTGTATGAAGGTTTTATTAGATAAACAACTTTTAGCCTGGTAGGCAAGAGAAAATAATACAATTATATTTTTTGCAGTTTCACAAATTACTTGAGGCCATGTGAAAAAATTTATATTTTATTTGCGGTCTATATTTTTGCCATTTTTCTATTCTCTGATAACACTCCGCCCTGTTGATTCTGGTGAAGTTGGATAGCTATTCTACAATGTCAGATGAGCGTTTTGTTGCCAAGTCTTCTAATCTGACATGGAAGATAGGCTTATTTATCTTTGCGCTTATATTTCCTGTCTCTCTGCATTGATTCTCTATTAAAATTGGAAAAAATTAGAGTTAGATATAGAGTTAGTATTATTGTTCCACTTTCTGCTCCACAATGTCAGATGGACAAATTTTTTGATAGGTTTCTAATCTGCCTGTCAAAGTACCTGGAGTATTCAAGGGAAATACTAAAGTAGCAAACCAACCCATATGCGTTCCAACCATGACCAATATATCAATTCATAAATATTATATGATAACAACATGTATCATTTCAGATCGACAGCTTGAATCTGAGTTGGAACAAAGTCAGCAAACTCGGAGATGCAGGATTATCTACAATCAGTGAAATTGTTCATCAATGCCAGGTTGCAACATTGAACATGTGGGAATGCGACTTCGACGATGATCAGTTGGAAAGATTCAAAGCATTGATTGCGGATACTGGGGTTGAGTTCAATGGCTTCTAGTGAGTCACAGACGCCGTATCCGAGGATGATTTTATTGGAATATTTGATTTAAAATTATATTAGTTCCACATTTCTTCAGTTTGTCTGTCTGAGATAATCACTTTTCGTTTTGTTTCAAAATTTTCGAGCAATTTTTTTTTATTTTTTTTTTTTCAATTCTGTCTATAATATTTAGCAAGTATGGTCTGTTTATCGCATTATGTCTTATGGAAATTTCTTTTGATTTTCATATATTTCATCAAATATTTCAGTCAGGGATTCCGAATAATTAACCAGTTGCATACAATAAACAATGGAATAACTGCAACTCTACAACCTGGCTATTTGACCAGACATTTTTTGCCCACGGATTGCCGTGTTAGACTTTCAATGCTTTTATATTTTCGTAAGTATGAAAATACGAATCAAAAATTAATTATTGGGCAGTTTACCACACTTTTTATGTCAACAGATGGCCGTGAAATTCTAGAGTAGTAGGCTGGCTAATGCTTTTATTTTTAACCACGAGTTATGTTGAAAAGAGCTAAATTAATACGGCAAGGCATTTGAAATGCTGGTATCGGTCATGGATTTGAATATTTTGCTCAACAGAAAATCATCCTAATAAAAAGTTTATATTTTCAAATATTTGCCAAAAAGCGAAAAAAGTATGAATTGTATTTTCAATAAATCAACTTGTTTTTTCCGACTTGCGACAATTTATTGGGTATCGTAACAATTGCAGCTTTACATAGTTTTCAATTTTTCGACGTAATGCAAATGAATGCGTAACTAAAACACTGTTGCTGAAGAGGCAACTAGCAAAAATAATAAAATACCATTGGGCGCTAAACATGGAGTAGCAACCGAATGCTGGGTGTACGCTTGACATAAATGATATTCTCCAATATATTTACCAATGCCAATAAAAATAATTTATTGGATGGAACCATTTTTAAACAAAGAAGTAACATCTCTTCCACAAGGCTTTTTTCAAGCCGATTTGGCCACTTTTATCCAATTGGTCCCCGCACCCTGCGCTAGTCTTTTTCTGTATTATTTATCTGTATTATGAGGTACAAAACGTGAAAAATAAAGTGAAATAATATTAAATTGTTATGCATAGTAAATTTCGTAAATTATTGTTATGTCGCCATTAGCAATTAAAAAACTCAACAGTTTGTCAATGCTTTCTATACAAGGCGAGATTGCTAAAGCTATTGACTTTGAAAATATTTGGAATAAATTTGCTGATAAAAAGGCTAGAAATGTACTCTCCTGGATAATTATTGAAATTTCCTATTTTGCCTTTCTCGATGTTGAAATTAAAACAATGAAACCATCCAAATTACCTTAAAAATTGTTGTATAGCAAGTAATAAGTGTTTATTATTTTCATTTGTATATATTTTTTTTATGAAATATAAAGACCCATAAATTGTACTATGAAGAGTAGGGGGTATGCCATCATATTTCTAATTAGGCCCCGCAGTTCCTAGCACAGGCCCTGCTCTTTCATTTTCTACAAGAATTCTTTGTCTTTATTTGTTCCGTTATGACTTCAACCCGATATAATTTTGGGAATTATCCAGCACTCAACTCTGTGCTCAAATCACACAGCTTTTTCTTAGATGTTTATACAAAATTTATTTTAATAGGTTTACTTTTCTTCCCAATTCGCAACTGAACTTAATTATACGAAAATCTGCAATTTCCAAACTAACTACGGCTTTGCCCTGTCAAGTTACTATATTAGTACAATATACATGCATAGCCTTCTATTGTTCATACGCGCTTGCATTTTTTCAACTACAATTCTGCTCCCCAAATATAAAATTATGCGTGAGAGGATTGCTGGGCTCTTCGCCATCGTAGGGTGGTTCACGTAACCGCTGGTCGGTTACGGCTTCCTCCGCCATAGAGTCCATGCAGCTCAAACAAATAACTGGCTAACTAATTTCAACATGGACTGGTAAATAGACTAAAGGCCGTATGATTAAGCCGTCTCGTCGGCTTCCACCACAGTTCCCCCCTCCCCATCAGAATAAATATCTTATCCATAGGGTGAAAGCGCACGCCGCACCCATGCAGGAAAACTTTTTTTTATCATTTAACTTATGGCTATATTAGTAGTTTTAGTCCTTACATAAGAGATGATTTAAAACGCATAAATTTCTGAAGAAAATTGCTATTCACACTTAATGTCACACCACCCCGACTTTGAACGAATTCAGTGAGAATTTGCAGCTGACTTTTCACGACTACCAAATTGGCCTCAATGGAAGTGCTAGCTATTTTACGTTCATTTTCCAAGTGTTTGTTTTTCAAACCGATCGACAGGGGGATTTGATGACGCACATTTTAGAACAAAATTGTCCGCACAAATATCTTGAGCCAAAAGGTGCCATTTTTGAATTCTATAACGTAGAAAGTTATCTTGGTTGAGGTGTTTTCAATAAAATCGCCAACTGTCATTTTCAAATACTTTGCTGTTAAATCTATCTAATTCGAGGCAAGATTTAGACATATTTGACTGATATGCTGAAACTAAAACTCATTTAGCTTCTGTATCTTTCAATGGTAAAATCTTTCAAACTGCTTTTCCATTTTTTAGGTTAATTGCCCGTTCTTACTAATTTATTGTATTAATCATTGAGACATCTCATCGGTTTCCATCTCTCCTGGGATAAATATGAAAATACTGCCTAATGAGCGAGTCTGGTGAAATGCCACCAGCGTCAACAAGCGCCATATAAGTCGCAACTTGTATTATTTCGAAAAAATACAAGAAATTTAAAAAAAATCGTAATATTCTACGTTAAGCGATAAATTCCGGACACCGAAAACACTAGGTCAAGCGATGATGGAGGAAACCTTCACCCAGTGGTCGGCAACTTTTTCCAAGTGAAGCACCGGTAAAGCCTAAATTTTGGCGGACCACCTTCACACAAACGAATTAAGCCTATGCAATAAATTATACGCATTAGGGAATTTATGTTGACAATATACTAAATACGACGGTGATGCTATTTAGTGCGATATCTGCATTTGTTGGCTTACCTGTTCCCATATTGGAGATATGGCCGAAATTGACACATATAACGTGATTTCTACATCCGGACTACTCCGTTATTTCGTTTTTGTAGTTATCAATATTGAAAACCAGGCCTCACATTAATAAGATTTCGGGAAAGGTAACAACGCCTGTACCCCTTCTGACTCTGTATTGATTGATGTTTGTTTTGCCATAAGTAATTTTTTTACCCGATGTGCTAACTTTATAATTATCCGGATTCTGGAGTATAGCTTTAGCTCTGGCTAAGCATGACCTGTTGGCTACGAGCCAGTTGTGGAGTCGTCACGTTCTTAGCGATAATTATTTTGTTGGAGATATCGTATACGGACTGATGAAAGACACTCTTATACGGGCGCAGTGGAAACAACTTACCCAGCATTATTGCGGCATACTGACAAGGTAATTGTTTGTGAAGTCAGACATGCTGCTCAAGTGCGTTGTGTTTGTCTGGTTTGCTGTTGGGTGCTGTTTTTAGTCGTAGGGTTTGTGGTTAGATTGTAGAGGTTTTATTACGGCCTTGTCCGTTTATGTGTCACCTCTCTGCGGACCGGCGATGGGCCGCGGCCCAGTGGTTGCCGACCACTGTTTCAAAGCACCATCGGTTACGTGAACCACCCTATGCTGAACTCTTTGCCATCGTGGGGTGGTTCAGGTACCCGCTGGTCTGTTACGGCTTCTTCCGTCATCAAGTCCATGCATCGGAAAACAAATAACTGGCTAACTATGTCCAACATGGACTGGTAAATGGAATGATAACCGGACGAGAGAGAGCTATATTTAATATTACAAACAATGTCATGATACATTTGGAACAACAGAAAATATAATTTAATTCAACAATAATTGGTTGATCATTATTTTGAGGGTCCGTATGCAAGACCGGTTAGGTCACCGAGGCTCCTGGCCCGTACTGTATTATATACTATATGAGAAATCAATCAGATATAGCAGGGGTGTGCAAACTGCGGCTCGCAAATAAAAATTGTGCGTCCCGCGGAGAAGTGCTAATTTTGAAAGGTGTGCCCGCGAAACGAGTTTTTAGTTTTGTTAATCTGGTGTGTGAGAGCAATTCCAATCTCGTTGCGTCGCAAAGCCTATAGTAGCGCCTGCGTGCCACTGTCATATTAGAAAAACTAGCTAACAAAATCCTGTTGAAAAAGACACGTTATAGAAACGTGTTTCTCATTCAAATCGTTTAGTCGGTGTGAAAATAAATTTGAAAAGCAGTTTTCAATTTATAAGTTTTAACTCGCCATTTCTGCAAGGACCCCTAACAGTGCTGTAAGATCAATAACGAAAAAAAAAACAATTTTTTGTGCTTGCAACTTCGGTTAAAACTCTACCTACGAAATTAATTCGTCCCGGAAGTACCTGCGTAGGTACAAAATTCTATACATAAGTAGGGACGCACACTGCCTGTCAATAACCTATTCCGTTCTAAGCCCCGAAAAAACTCGGACATTATATTTGTATAAATTATAATAACGGTTAAAACCCGTAACAAATACATGTTAAAATTGGATTACTACATGCTAAATAGAAAGGTACACGTGGAAAGAAGGAAGAACAGAGAAATAACGAATAAAAACTACGAACTATATACCTATAGACTAGGGTGAGCAACCTTTTTCGGCTCGCAACCTTTTTCGGCTCGCGTGCCAAAATCGGCTTAATTTAAAAAAAAAATTGTTCCTCGTGCCAACCAAAATTAAAAACAATGCTTTGCCACTTTCAAAGCAGAGATACGCAATAATAAACCTTTTAAACATGTACAGACAGATTCACTAATTGGGAAAATATCACTCCAACAAATAGATTTGATTACTTTTCTTATTCCATATCAGTGAGACTTCTGCTGCGGCATTACCGCTGATAGAGATTTTACATTGGGTTTATATTTTGAAACTCCCAGAGAAATTCACGAACTACTGCTGGTTTCATCTCTCAGGCTACTCTTATTACGAGACTCAATAAAGTTCATAACTAAGAACCAAGATTCACCACCATATATATGCAGTTGCAAAGTTTTTAAGACATCAACAATTTTCGGGAATGGCATCCCAATAACGGAATAGTTCGTTTTTTGCACTTCTCTCTCGTATTCCCTTTCCTGATCGCTTATATATCATTAGAAATCAATTTATAACAGTAAGTTAGCAAGTAACTCTAGCCAACATGAGCTTTACAACTTCATAAATCAAGCAGAAATGGAGAAAACGGCGGCACAGACGCACTATTCAGGAGTGGGCAACCTTTCGGCTAAATTTAACGACAAAAATATTCCGCGTGCCAACTAAAATTAAAAACAATGTTTTGCTACTTTCGAAGCAAAAATAAATACACAATAATAAATCTTTTATACATGTGCAGACAGATTCACTATTCGGAAAAATATCAGTCCGACAAATAGATTTGATTACTTTCTTTTTCTATATCAGTGAGACTTCTGCGGCTGCATTACCGTTGATAGAAATTTTACATTTGGTTTATATTTTGTAACATTCAAAGAAATACACGAACTACTGGTTTCATCTTTCAGGCTACTCCTATTATGAGACCTAATAAAGTTCATAACTAAAAACCAAGTTTCACAAGCATATGTAGATTAAAACATAGATAGTAATACAGTTGCAAAGTTTTTAGGACACAAAAAAGGTTCGGGAATGGCATACCTATCACGCGATAGTTCGTTTTCTGCACTCCTCTCTTTTATTCCCTTCCCTGATCGTTTATTTTTCTTTCATAATCAATTTTTATATCATACAGTGAGTAAGCAAGTAACTCTAACCAACATAAGCTGTATCCTACAACTTCATAAACCAAGCAGAAATGACGAGGGTGGCACAGACGAACTACATTTTGTTTTAGGGCAGTTGTCGGGAACCCATGGCTCGCGAGCCATATATGTCTCTTTTGGTGACGACATATGGCTCCCAGAGAATTTGATATTCCAAGAATGAGCTAATTATTTTTACCAGATATCAAACTATATATATATAGCTAAATGTGGGATAACATTAGCCATTACGTTTGAGAACATGCTATGTTATAATGTTATGTGAGAGAAGTGCCAGACATTACGACAAAACTAAATAATTCTGGAACATATTTTGTGAAATCACCAAGCGATTTAAAGTTGGTAAACGAAGAGAAAAGCATTCCGTCCGTTCGTACTGTTTATTTGTAATATTTAGGCTTACCGTACGTCCCGCTTTAGGCGGGACAGTCCCGCTTTTCAGCGTTTTGTCCCGCCGTCCCGATAAGTCAGCCAAAAGTCCCGCTTTTCCAGCATAATACACAAACATGTTCTCGTTACTGTTGTTTCTTTGTAGCGCAGCGCTAGCCTACTTAGTGAAGGCGAATGCGTTCGTTTCCCACTGATTCCCATTGATGGCAGACATATCGCATGTAAAACCAATACTAATTAGTCTAAATTCGAATTATTTGTACCGGTATCGTTAACGTCAATTCCTTTCTATTTTTCGAACTGAACCCGATATTTTGACAGAGAATATGCGCATGAAATTTCGATCACATCATGGTCAATAAAGACAGCCGAGACAGCTTTAAATGTAGGAATGTAGGCCTATGTAGTGAAATCGGAAAATGTGAAGTTATAAAATCACAGCTAAGGGGTCGTTGTCTTTCGAGGCGTCCCGATTTGAAGTCACAAAAATATGGTAACCCTAGTAATATTTAGATTATTATAAGCAATACGAAGATGCCCAATAGTAAGAAAGGCGATTAGTATCGTGGATTTCAACATGTGTTGCATGTGAGCAGTCGTTCAAGGCCATCAGCGACAACTTGCAGCATCAGAAATTACATTAAATGTATCTTGAGGCACTGTATGTGTTGACTTTTGAGTGAAAATTTAGGACATGATTAGGGAATGGAAATTCCGTATGGCTCGCACGAAAATGCAATTGAAAATATGTATCTTTTATGGCTCACTTGGCAAAAAAGGTTCCCGACCCCTGTCTAAGGTCTAGACCAGTGCTCCGCAACCTTTTTAATTTATCCATTTAGTTAAACTTTTACGTTGCTTGACTTTTTTAATCAAAGACCACTGGACAAGCACTGATCCTGCCAACTCACACTTCAGTTTTATTTATATTCGATTACTACACGACTACACGTGTTATGTTTTAGCCTCGACAATAGGAATTACAATATATCTGCTTGACGTATAGGCCTATTCCTTGTTACGTCACAAATGCACAGTGTCAGGAATTTGACTTGGTGTCGCTCAAGCTAACGTAGAAGCATGTTAACTTTACGTTAGTAGAGTAGAGTAGTAGACTAACGTAAAATTAACAAAGGATAAAAAATGTTGTATAAAAGGAGAGAAAAGTTGCAATTCCTGTGCGGCACACGGCACACCGGTGCACCGCGGCACACCGGTTGCGGGGCACTGGTCTAGACAAAATTCACTTATTTGTTACGCCATAATGTACTTCTTTGTAGCCATATGTCATGAAAGGACAAAAAGAATTAAAATAAAGAACGGATTGTCAACAAACGATATTGAATAAACGAACACATAGTTCTATCAGATAATCCAGAGTCTTGAAACCTTTTATCTGAAAGAGAATGATCTCGTTTCAAGGGCCTCGCTCGCGTGCCGAATAAATGAGCTTGCGTACCAAGTTTGGAACGCGTGCCAGGGGTTGCCAATTCCTGGACTAGACTAAACGAAGACTGCGAAGAATGGGAGGAAGGCGGTAGGAAGAAGTGAGAGCCGGCGGCAGAACGTAATGTACGAAAATGGGCAAACACACATGAAATTCAAAAACATTTTTTCATTGTATCATCGTCTATTCACTGAATTTCGCTAGCAAGATATTGTACGTACCCGCGGGAAACAAACTGGCCAATGGGCGCGACTGCCTTCGAATGCGATAAAAACAATGAAATAAACGTGAATTGTTTTTAATTAACGGCGGCGCTAAAATATTTGCGCCTCGAAAAACGATATCCGAAGGTCGCGATATTCTAAATAGAACACCCCTTCCTCAAGCACTGCATCAAATTAACCTAAAATAAACGAATATCACTACACACATTTTCTAGGTTTTCCGTTTTTAATTAGGCCTTTCGTGTGTAGAAAATCTTACGTTGGCCTACGCAATATTTTTACGAGAAGAATTTTCGTAAGTTGGATTTTCATAGCCTTTCGTAGATAGAGCTTCTAAGTGCGGCCCGCGGCTTCACCCATTTGCATCTGGCCCTCCTGTAATAATGGTTGCACACCGCTCAGATGAAGCATCGGCATAAAATGTGAGAGGCCGTGGTTCGCTATATTATTGAGTCATCTTATCAGCTTGCTTCTCTCCTGGGATAAATATGTAAAACCCATCCTGAGTAAATAAAATTGTTAAATATTATTAAAGCGCTTCCAAATTCGCAATCAGCGCTCCCACAGTTAACGCAAACGTCCATCGGAGGGCGTGTTCTCGCACTACGCTGGTTAGGAACAAAGCGTATATATGATATAAGCGAGGCAACGCTCAGACAATGGACGCCATCTTGTGCCTATTGTTCTCGGCAATTTAACACGGCGCCTTATGAAAAGTTCCAACACAATTATTGGAACATACCTATTATTTTCACTAATATTTGAGGTAGAAAAATTTTGAAGTTTGCGTTTTGAAGTAGAATCTTAGCCGTACATGCTTATATCGTTTCATGTTGGCCAAATTACATTCATAGTACATTAAATTGTCTTTAAAGACAAGTATACCGGTTCCGAGTTGCTTCCGAAGTAAATTGGCCATTCTGATCGTCATAATTAACCATTTGACAATGGCGTTCCTTATGACGTCACAGATGAAAAGTTGTATTTATTCGTCGAAATTACCGGCCGAGCCAACTTTGCCTCAATGGCCGTTTCTATTTTCTGGTTAACATTTTTCGTCTGCCAAGCTCCATAATGCCCTACTGCTCAGGTCCAAGCTGCGCTAGAAGAACAAATGACATTGTAGGATTGTTGCGGAGACATTTTACAGCCTCAAATTGGCGTATCACTATAAAATCTTTGAAAAAATAACCAAAAATGATTCTACGCTGTGTTTGTGGTCAAATTTAACGCATTAGATAGTTTTTTCATTCCTGATTGCGTTATATATTTAGATAGCATATATCTTAAAGTTCAAAATCCACCCTTCGGTTTCATTCTAGCCCTTATAACAGCGGACTTATTCGATTCGGTACAACAACACGACAAAAATTTTCCGTAAGACCCCATTGTTTCGCGTTTCCCAAATATGGCACAAGATGGCGTCCATGAACTTGTTTAACATTAGGCAAGTTGGTTGCCGGCCGTTGGTTAGGAACGGAGACCGATTTTCTGAGATTTTTAATCTGCAATATACCGTACCGGTACGGTTTCTCAGAAGCGAAGTTGATTTCAATTGAGATAAATATGTCGCCGGATGAGAACAGAAGGGGTCTAAGTCACATTTTTTAACATTTCACTTTTTCCAATATTTACAATCAATAATAAAAATTTTAGCTGGACTTACTGACTTAGGTCCTTAATATTTTCTAGAAGTTAGAAACAGAATGGGCCAAAGTCCTTTTTGGGGGGGAAAAAAACATAAAAAAAATATTGATTACAAAGATATTCTCATCCACACATAACCAGAGATCAGGTCTTTACTAAGTGTAAATATCTAGATATTCAAAAAAAGAAATTCAAAATGGTTTTTTGCGTTTTGCTCAAAACTCAAAATTGTGACTTAAACTTGCTTGTTCTGTTCTCATCCGGCGATGTGTTGTCTTGACTATAATGATTGTTAGGCAGTTATTGGTACGTAACAGATTGTGTGTGAATTGTTTCAACTCGCACAGTTTGCCAAATAATAGTCGTGTTTCAGAGACAGATAATGTGTTCGATTTATTGAACTATATTTTGGGACATTTTGAAATCAAGAGAACTGTGTCCTACTAGGTTCCATATTTCAATCATCAGATAATGTTAACAGGTTAAAATAGACTTCTATTATGAAATAATGCCTCAATTTAAAAGCAAGTGCGGTAGCGTACCACACAGATGCTGATAGCAGACACAACTTTTGGTATCGTGGAATTCTTATTGGGTTTCTTTTGCTGACTTGAACTTCTCCAAGATTTGCATCAACCAATTTTCTACAATATTTCATTCCCTTGGATATTGCTTGGACCCCGGCATACGTGCTTTCGAATGAATTCTCTCTTCATTTAAAAATGGCGACAATTTTTTACGAATGCATGAGTGGAATATTCAGTTCCTCATGTTATTTTGTGATCTATGGATTTTTGGTTTACGTCACAATTCCGCTGATTTTCAAGATTTACCCAAAAATCGTCTTTGAAGGATTATTTCTCAACAGAGTCTGCCCACCTGTATGGTTACTGAAGCTGAACAAACCAGACAAAGTAAGACTTTCTACAAGACGTTTGTATGAGTGAGTGCTTCTGAATGAGTGCCCATAACTTTGCTCAGAGATGAGTCTCCTTATCTGAGTGTGTGCGAGTAACTCTGCGAGAAGAGTCTCCTTTACTTTTGAGTGAGTACCCGTAACTTTGCTCAGAGATGAGTCTCCTTTACTTTTGAGTGAGTACCCGTAACTCTGCTCAGAGAAGCGTCTCCTTTACTTTTGAGTGAGTACCCGTAACTTTGCTCAGAGATGAGTCTCTTTCACTTATGAGTGCCTGTAACAATGCTCAGAGATGAGTCTCCTTTGCTTCTGAGTGAGTGCGTGTAACAATGCTCAGAGATGAGTATTCTTTACTTTTGAGTGAGTGCCCGTAACTTTGCTCAGATATTAGTCTCTTTTACTTCTGAGTAAGTGACCTTAATAACTCCGATCAGTAATATGTCCCTTCACTTATGAGTAAATGCACTGAACCTTGCTTCAACCAGATACCCTTATTATAGTGATCAATTCCTAACTCTAAATTCTCTCCTTTTACTTCAGGCCTACAATCTTAAAGAGAGCAAGAACTGCTATGTGAAGTCTTCGAGTGGAAGTACTTTAGGCGTTTGGCATATTCCGCCAGTCACTCAGTACGATACTCCAGAGGTCAAATTAGTGTCATTACAAGACGCTAAGAAAATCATCATTTATTGCCATGGCAACTCGTTTCATCGTGGTTTCAAGCATCGAAGAGATTTATATTCAGAGCTGCAGAAATCAGGTATGACTAATATGGTCGATTTCATTTTGTCAAACTCAAAGGTACTCGGAGCCGCAACATTTACTCTAATGTCAGTGGCTATTAAAACTACCGGAAAACCACTTATGATGCAATAATTCAGTTTACGACAAAATAAAAATAATTTGAAATTAAAAAGAAAAAGTTTGTTTTGACAGATTTGAATCACTTTGATGCGACCTATTGTACCGCTCACGACTTATACCTGTTGTCATGTGTAATTAGTGAGTAGTAATAGACTATAAAAAGGGCTGTTGCCATTTCGATTCGGTTTTTCGATAGTTCTAATAGTATCTGACATTAGAGTACATGTTGCGGCTCGAGTAGGTTTGAGTTTGGCATAAATGTTACATTTTATGAACAATATATACAGTGTTACAAAAGTGAAAAACAATAAGCCCCGTGCCAAAACTACATTTAATCCCAATCTCAACAAATTCCTATTTTTCACTAGAACATCAAAATTTGGTTTTATTTCAGTTGTGGCAGCATCAGGCAAGCCGGATTGAATAACCCAACGGGCTAGATTTGGCTTGCGTAGTTTGCCCATGTCAGGTGTAGACGATGCCATATGGCTCTTTTAATGCCAAATGTTGCCGAATCGTGGCCTAGGCCAGGGCTACTCAACTATTTTTTTCAAAATTATTTGGGTCCGGTCTTTACAGAAATTTTATTTCGGCATCCTTAAACGCACACTTCCTCGGCTGGCTAATGATTATTAGCAAATCAAGATTATTTATTATGATGTTATAGGTATTTTCATATATATTCGAAACTATAAAATTCATTTTATAAAAGAAAACTTCAAAAGTGGGGATAATGATCCAAAATAAAGAATTAGGTGAGGTTTGAATCTATTGAAAGGTCCGGATTCGGACCGCGGTCCGCCAGTTGAGTAGCCCTGGCCTAGTAGACATGTCAGTGGACATAACGATCGTTTCAATATTATGTTGTTGTTTTTCGTCATCATTATCATTAGGAAATCGCTTTTCTCTTCGAATACTGGACCAATTGCTTTGAAATTTTCAGTGGTTAAAGATTCGTTCTTTTGCCAGAAGGCTATTACTTTTATTTATTCCTAAATTTTCTATGAATCTTATGAGATCTAATATTTCATCCAAAATTGCGCTGTATTACTTTTTAATAATGGGAACACGTTTTTTAATCGCTCTGGTCCACGTGTCCATATATTTTAGCGTTGCTCTCTTGTTGTATCAATCTGCTCATTCACACAAATAAAATCTCTTCCATTTTCACCAAGGATTCCACATCATAGCTTTTGACTACAGTGGGTTTGCGGACTCTACCGGTCAGCCGAGTCCAACAAGAGTCGTGGAGGATGCAATTAGCATGTATAAGTGGATGGTCAAGCAGGTTGGATTATGTTTTATCATATTTGTCTCAGGGACGAGAAAAGCCAATAAGACTGCTATCAGCAAAGCAGAGGTATACCATATATAAATTGTATATAAGCACAGTTTAAACTAAAAAAAAAAGTTCCCAAACTAAAGGGTTGGCTTATATGCGCCGCACTCTAATCACACTAAATTTCGGCTTTATAAGCGCATAACCCTGATTGTGCGGGGGTCAACTTATACATTCATAACACAGTTGCCTGTCAATGGGGAATTCCCCCTTTATGTTATTCCCCTGATTACCAAATTATAAAAATCGAATCAGTAATTGTCAAATTTCTGACACTTAATGTATTTAATCACTCAGCTCCAGAAAGAAGATGTGACAATTGTGCTTTGGGGTCATTCACTCGGCACTTACATCAGCACGAGGGCGCTATCGCTCATGTACGGCCAGAAAGATGGCACTCGACTCCCTGACTGTCTGATACTTGGAGCTCCGTTCACGAATACATACGATGCCGCAGACTGCTTCCCACTATCTAAGGTGAAATTTATATTTTGTTTCATTTCGGTACTCCCGTAGCATGTGAACCAAGATGGCGGACATCTGAACGAAGTATGTGTACCAGGTTAGGATTAGGCAATGATTTCAGGTACAAATACTACGAAGTCACTTGGCTAGTCCCAGAATAGAACTAAGATAAGGAAAATTGGAATAAAATTATGGCCTAACCTGGTACACATACTACGTTCCGGTGTACGGCATCTTGGTTCACATACTACGGGAGTATGTTCATTTCAATGATGTGATATAGTATTATACGATGCTTATTAACGTTTTTTTACGTGCAAGGCCAGGCACCAGTAGCAACAGATACTCGTATCTAACGATATGCAAGTATATACTATGTTTTGGAAGGGCTGAAATCATTCCAGTTTGGCCCTTGCTAACAAAATTCTGTTAATTTTTGCGGCACACTTATTAACTAGTTGCTGCGCAGCCTTTGGGGACCTCTGTACTTTTCGTTGTAGTGTAGCCTACAACAAGGCCGTAAATTGAATAACATTTAAAAAATTGTATTTATTACCTCTCTCTTTCAGTATTTCTATCTGCTCTATCCCTTCATGAGATCGCAAGTTCACAAGAATATCAGACAATATGACGTAGAGCTCAGGACGGAGAAGTATCTGCCGACAATAAAGGCTCCTGTTATGATCCTACACGCTAAAGATGATCAGAGGTATGTAGGCAGAAATATTTGAAAGGTATGGCTTGTCAGTTAGTGTATCGTCCTAAGCGTAAGTAACACGCTTACGTGGCGCTCCTCAAGAGTTCACAGGTTCAAAACATGTTATTTATGAGAATATGGCTTGCAGAACAGTTTACTGTCGTAAGATGGTTCCTATAACCTTCATCATCAAGTTATGTCTTGTAAATTCATCATCATCTAACATTTTCAATATTTACCGGTACGGTCTTACAGTATGGTATTTAATATAAGTTTATTTTGACTCCTCAGCATAACAAGCAATATAATACCCTAATTGTCAGATTGATTAAAACAAAATAAATAACCGATTAGCTCCGTGCATCAAGTCCATGCATTGGAAAACAAATAACTGGCTAAACAATCCCATAACTGACAAGGACTGGTAATCGGACGAGAGGCCGCGGTTTGCTATATGATTACGCTGTCCTAGCGGCTTTTCTCTCCCCCGGGATAAATATGTAAATCCTACCTATTTACTCTCTATTGATATCTCTTCAGAATTTTCTATGCTTAAAGCAAGCCAGGTTCTGTAAAAGGGTACTCCCGTAGTATGTGTACCAGGTTAGGGCACAATTTCATTCTGATTTTCATACTTTAGTTCTATTATGTGTTCGGGGACTGTTTGTGTTAGCCAAGTATCGGTTTCAGTCCCTTTATACAACTTGCTGTCAAGTAGATGAACAAAATTAGTTACCTCCATTTTGGTACACATACTTCTGGAGCGCTCCCCAATAACACACTTATTCATGTCTTAGCTAGCATGGTCAACTTCGTTACACGTCTCTCAAATCAAGTCAAACTCTGGCTTTGATTACAAAAAAACTGGTTGCCCTTTGACACATCTCTGGAGCACCCTGTAAAAGCAATATTTGCATGGTGTTGATGCAACATTAATGCAAAGTCTAGGTAGTAGGCCCTATTAGCTTCGCTTCCTAATCGATTCGGATTCGCTTTCTTTTGAAATAGAAAAATCCAATTCTCAAACCAAAGTATTCCATTCCTTACAGAATCGACATTCATCTCGGTGAGACTCTGTACGAAAAGACGACCTCTGACCCCATGACAAAATCTCCTCACATTCGTTTCATTCGAATGCACAAAGATTACGGAGTGAAACACTACACTGCTAAGCACCCTGAGATAAACCAGTTAGTGCATGATTTCATGGCTGAGGTAGCAAAGGTCAAAGGTGATCAGGAACAAGGAAGTAAAAATAGATTTGAATTGATCGATATTTAATTTTTCTTTTTTTGCTGTTTAATTAGGCAATGAATATAATTGCTTTGGTCGAGTAGCAAAGATCAAAGGTTATCAGGAACAAAACTGATTAAAGATTTAATTTTTTTGTTATTAACCTTTATTATGTTAAGGAGACAAATAGAGCTAAATTGAACTTGCATTCCTGGAATTTAGGTAAACTCCCAGCATTGTTTTCTTCTGAAGAAATCTAATTATCAAATTTCTGACGCTTTATTTAATTTTCCAGCTCCAGAAAGAAGATGTGACAATCGTGCTCTGGGGTCATTCACTCGGCACGTACATCAGCACGAGGGCGCTATTGCTCATGTACGACCAGAAAGATGGCACTCGACTCCCCGACTGTCTGATACTTGAAGCTTTGTTCACGACTACATACAATGCTGCGGATTGATTTCCATTGTCTAAGGTGAGATTTTTGTTTCATTTAGGTACTCTCGTAGTATGTGAACCAAGATGGCGGACATCTGAACGTATTATGTGTACCAGGTTAGAATTAGGCAATAAATTCAGATACATATATTACGGGTATCACTTGGCTAGTCTTCGAACTCCGAAACCGAAAGGAAAATTGGAATAAAATTATGGCATAACCCTAACCATGTATACATACTACGTTCTGGTGTCCACCATCTTGGTTCACATACTTGGGGAGTACCTTAATTTCTATGATGTGATATAGTATTATACGATGCTTATTAACGCTTTTTCTTACTGTACAAAGCCCGGCATCAGTATCAACTGATATCTAACGATATGTAAGGATATACTATATATTAGAAAGGCTAAAATCTTTCCAGTTCGGCACTTGCTACTTAACAGAATTCTGTTAATTTTTGCTGCACACTTAGCATCTCGTCGCTGATCACTCTTTGGGGACCTCTGTACTATGCCATTGTGGTAGTGCGCCAAGACTCTGGAATTGAATAACATTCAAAAAATTGTATTTATTACATCTTTCTTTCAGTATTTCTATCTGCTCTATCCCTTCATGAGGTCTCAAATTTACAAAAATATCAAACAATATGACATTGAGCTCAGGACTGAAAAGTATCTGCCGACAATAAAGGCTCCTGTTATGATTTTACATGCTAAAGATGATCAGAGGTTTGTAGGCAAGAATATTTGAAAATTATGGCTTGTCAGTTGGTGTATTGTCCTAAGCGTAAGTAACACGATTACGTGGAGCCCTTCAAGAGTTCACAGGTTCAAAACATGTTATTTTTGAGAATATGGCTTGCGGAACTGTTTGCTGTCGTAAGGTGGTCCACGTATCTTTCTTCATCAAGTTCATATCTCTGAAATCCACCATCTAACATTTACAATATTTACCGGTACGGTATTACAGTACGATAATTATTATAAGTTTCAACTCCTCAACATAACAAATACCATATTTGACAGATTGATAAAAAACAAATGAATAACCGATTAGCAGCATGTCTAAGCATCTGGAAACAAATAACTGGCAAACTATACTCATACCCGACATGGACTGGTAATCATGGTTCGTCATATGATTAATAAGCTTTCTTAGCGGCTTTCCTCCCCCCCTGAGTTAAATATGTGAATCCCATCCTCCGCTTTCTATTGATATCTCTTCAGAATTTCCCATGCTTAAAGCAAGCCAGGGTCTGTAAAATGATATTCTTGTATTCTGTGTATCAGGTTAGGCCATAATTTTATACCAATTTTTCTTATTTTAATTCTATTACGAGTTCAGGAACTGTTTGTGTTAGCCAAGTGAATATAACCCCCTGCCCATACGTTTGAGTCCCTTTACATAACTTGATGTAAAGTAGTGCGGATTTGTTACCTCCGTTTTGGTACACACACTGCTGGAGTGTCCTGTAAAAGCTATATTTGCATGGTGTTGATGCAACATGAATGCAAAATCTAGTTGTAAGGCTTTATTAGCTTCGTTTTCTGATCGAATTCGATTTCTTTTTAAATATGAAATTCAATTCTCAAACCGAAATACTTTTCTTCATTACAGAATAGACATTCAACTCGTTGAGACTTTGTACAAGAAGACGACCTCTGACCCCACAACAAAATCTCCTTACATTCGCTTCATTTGAATGCACGAGGATTACGGAGTGAAGCAAAATTACTGCTACGCATACTGAGATAAGGCAGTTAGTGCATGATTTCAACTGCGGCCCACGGGCCAGTTACGGCTAACCGAAGTGTTTCATCCGGCCCACTTGTGCCTATATCAATTATGACTATGGTTTTCATGGCTATAAATTTGCGTTGGATATTTCGATGAAAATAACGAATCATCGCCTAAAATATAGATCACATATTATTTGCACCTGAATATAATTGTGCCACTTGGTACACTGGCTGTTTGTTGTACATTAGCTGTTATGCTTGTTATTTGCAAATGAACTGTTTTGAGTCTCCAGTGACCAAATCTATTATTTGTAACTGGCCCACTGAGAAAAATAATTGCCCGCCCCTGACTTAGAATATCATTTCATTATGGTCAAAGTAACTTAATTAATCATAGTCTATTATTATGTGTACCAGGTTAGGGTCAGGCCATAATTTCAGGTACAAATGCTATGGGAGTCACTTGTCTAGTCCTCGAATTCGTAATAAAACTAAAATAAGGAAAATTGGAATAATATTATGGCCTAACCCTAACCTGGTACTAGGCTTGCACGTAATTAACGTAATTTACGGATTTACGGAATTATTTCGAGTTACGGAAGGGAAGTTACGAATTACGTAAAGTCGTAAGTATTGGTCGAGCGCTTTCGCGATTGAAACGAGCTCTCTTCAGAGCAGTCAATTCCGTCGATTGTAAAAAATTAAAGTTCAAGTAAAAGAAGTTAGAGTTCCGGTATTCGCAGCCGTTTCTCTCTCTCTTGTTAGGCAGATGGGGAAGGCATAACGCGTCATTTACTAACCTATTATCAACTTATCTAGGATGGCCAATGTACATATTAACCGTAGATAAAGAATAGAATTGTGTTGAGACCGATGGACGTCAACACACCTGGTTTCAACTTCTTCGGGTGAAATGACTAAAGAATGTAAGAGATCAACTTATAAAACATGGTCTTTTTGTAAATGCCGTGATAATTAATGTCGCGCTTATCAAACAGCAATATAAAGTCGGAAGAGAAATTGCGTAATGAACCGACGCAACTTAGTCTTTTCGGCATCGGTAAAGCGATTGAGACGGCAGAGAAACAACAATACGACGGGATTCCCGGGGTTTTTTCTGTGCGAGATCCATTTTCTATTACAAAATCTTGATGTTCTGTTACCGATTTTATCGTTATATATCTGTCCGGACTTGGCATTTCTCAATATGTTTTTCACAATGCCTCGCAATATGTTGGCCAAATATGATTACCTGTCTTTACCGAATGCGGCAACTTATTTTGATTTATCGTCGACTCGAATACCACCGGCACTCGACCAAACTTGTGTCAATCTTGGCAAATAGGATTGTCGACTTGAGTTAGAAAAATAAATTAATATTTTCATGAGTGCAAAATAAATGTCACCAAATGCATTGTTTTGCGACATAACTTTGTATTTTCGGAGAAGGCATGTCATATAAGTACGGTATTTTAAATAATGCGCAAATAATTAATATTTGATCTAAATTTATCGCAAATAATGTTATAACTTTTAGGCCGCGAAATGATTTAATGTAGAATGAAGCATGGAATTCGGAATATCGTCAATAAGTCGGCACCAATAATTATCATAAAATGCTAACTAAGTAGTAAAGTCGGATATTGTAGAAAACGGTGAAATAACAAGTCTTCGTCGCGAGGCAAGCGAAAGTATAATCAAACGAGAGAATACGCTTGTAGTTGATTAATAAATTAGCAACCCGGAATTTTTATTTAATACGAAAGTCGTATTAATACGTTAATACGATTTTAAAAAAGTGAACTATCGTTTCCTAAATATATTTCCAGTGTTGGTAATGATAAAATTGATCGCATAAAATTTGGTGATAAAGTGGATAAAAAAAATCAAAGCTAATACAAAAGATAAAAATCAGAATAAAATTATTTTGAATTCACTTCTTGATATTTGTCTTTAACATCTGTAGCCGGCGTGTAGTACTGCCGGGAATATGAAAACCAAACTCCGATGTCCCATTCGGAATAGAAGTGGATTAAATTGGTTGTTATAATAGGTTTAAATGTGTGAAAAAAATATCGCAATTACGGGGTCATTACGTAATCGATTTGGCTGTAATTACGGAATTGATTTTTGTCAATTACGTGCAAGCCTACCTACCTGGTACACATACTACGATCCGGTGTCCGCCATCTTGGTTCACATACTTCGGGAGTACCTTATTTTCATGTGAAGTTACAAAGGACAACTACTGTTATTAACGCCCAGCATTATAACCGTTCATGTTCATTCAACTCTTCCCAAACTTCAAGCTGTGTTTTTGGAAATCTTTTAGGCTTTATTTCTATAATTGAAAGTATTTCAACATAACTTTATTAATTGATTGTAGTTTATATTTTCATTCTTAACTGTGTATTTGTTACTCAAGATGCCACTGGTCAGAATTAGCAAGTTACAAATATGCTTGGAAAAGAGTCGAATCACTCAACCAAAGTAGAAAGAGTTCTGACAGAAGAGTTGCAAGTTTGCTCAAATCAAAGTCCCAAACTCTCAACTTTAAAGCAGAAAGAGCACTGATAAAAGAGCCCCTTGTCACAAATATGTAGCGGTTCATGTGTAACTTGAAACAATATATCGCAGTACTATCAGAAAATAGATATTGCCATATTTCAATTACTGCCTTGTTGCCACATTTTGATATTCTTTTTTTAATATTGGGTCGAATATTTTGGGCTACGTAAATTATTCCATCTCTTCACCCCATAACGTCAAAAGTTTGAGAACTTTTGGTTTAACATATGCTCTTTGTGCGACAGAGGTCATTTGTAACTCTTTTATCAGCACCTTGGTTCGAGCATACTTGTATAGACTTCCTAAAATCATCTATTTTCATGGTCAAATATGAAGTTCACAGTTATGCTATACTAAACTTTCCGGAAAAACAATTATTCGTGTCTTAGCGAGCATGGTAAACTTCGTTACACGATTCTCAATGACTTGGATGCTAAGTGTTATTAAATTTTTTTTACTTCTGAGTGAGTGCCCGTAACTTCGCTCAGAAATGAGTATCTTTTATTAGTGAGTGCCTGTAACTTTGCTCAGAGATGAGTTTCCTTTACTTCTGAATGAGTACCCTTAACTTTGGTCAAGAGATGAGTCTCAATTGTAGTTGACGTGTGTAACCTTCCTTGAGCAAATTCACTTAATAAATGATAGGCTATGCTTTCACGTACTATTGAGCAAATTTAATTTTTAATTTTAAGATTTATAATCCCCTATGCACTGTATATGTTTAAATATGCAATTATGTTATCATAATTGTTGATTTGATTTCAATTTTTTATACCAATTCTACCTCAATGCATTTAATCCACTGAGACAAATGAACTTTGCTTTACATTGCAGTATTATTTTCCGAGCTACTGATCTTATCCACCAAAAAAAAACTCAAGGTTGTTTTTGAACGACTAACTTCGGAGCTAGGTTTCAGGGATGCCCGAAATGAATCAAATACATTCGTAATTCGATTTAATAAATTCTTGATTTTAGAAATAATTTAGAATATTTCACTTGTAAATATCTTCTTCAGCATGCATTATTTTATGACGAACATAACTCACAGAAAAATATAATGAACTTTTGAAAGAATATAATGGAGAATACTTATTAAATCAATGTTCATCTCAGTTACTCTGCATAACCAAATTTGAATTATATGAATTAACAATTGCCTTGAAGAATTTGTCCTGTGAAACAGACCTATTTTATTATTGGTGGTAATCGAAGTCAAAGTACTTGTCATTGACAATTTAAGGAGGGCGTCCGTGTTGAGGGACAAGAACCTTCAATGTATGAACTACAAAAACCAAGGATGGTGAACATAAAAATATGCAAAGAAGTTGTTGGCTCAGAAAACTAAGTATGAAATTGAAGCAGGGTTTCTCTGCTTATGTGGGGCGTGTAGATGTAACGCTGTAGATATATTGAAGATGAGTATTCTAGGCAAGTGGTCGGCAACCTTTTTTAAGTGACGAACCGGTAAAGCCTGGCGGACCCTCTTTATACAGACGAACTAAGCTTATGTAATAAATTACATGAGTAGAAATTTTCTAAAACATAGGTGATGATATTCAATGCGAGATTTGCGTTTGTTTGCTGGTCATTCATTAACTGTTCCGAATTCGGAGACATGGTGGACAGTGATACACGTACCGGTTTCTTACGTTCAGCCTACTTTAGTTGTCAATATTGAAAAACCGACCGCACATTGGGAAAAAGAGTATCGCAAGGATACTTTTCAACTCGTTATCATTTGAAATTTCAATCAAGTGCTCTATATAAGACAATCTCATAGTTCAAAGAAGTTTCGAAGGCTTCCTTTAAGAGCTCAGTAGGGCAAACTGGACAAATTTCATTGCTGTGACTTATGGCTATAAATCCATGTTTAAAATATGGATTCATCGCGGTATATGACCCGCTATATCTACACTCCCAGTTCCGTTAGATATTGGGACGCAGTCATTCAAAAATTGCATTATTGATGTTTGGCAAGCCATACCTGATTTTATCACGAGATGTGCTAACTTTATGATCATAAAGCATAGATTTAGCAAAGTCTAAATAGCGAGTTGGGTGCTGTTTTTCCTATAACACAAGTGGGGATGGCTATACTAAATTATTCATCTATGTCATTGCTAGCATGATTATCCCGTGCTCTTGTCACATATATTTAAGCTACTAATTACCCATGACAAAAGGATGAGATGTTCACACTTGTCGCAAGGGAGAAAAGCCGACAATGCGGCTTAATCACATAGCGTACCACAGCTTCTCGTCCGGGTACATGTCCACTGTGTGCACATTGGTATGTCGGAAAAAAAGTCCTGGTTCTTATTAAAAAATGCCGCATTGTCAAATGTTGCCGACACCTCGCAGAATCCGTTATCATGACCCCGACAGTAGGAATCTTTCTGCTACACAAATTGGCGGTGGAAGTTTCCATCCCCGAAGGTGGTCGGTTACTGAGTCACACCATAGTTCGCATCTTCTATTTGCTCTCTGCTAAACAATGAAGCTGACGACAATCACGCGAATAAAACAGACAAGCACAGCTGCGAATGTACATTGTGACGTTTATATAAGATTACTTTCATTCGCAAAATGTAGAACTGATAAATTGCAGACTCTTCAGAGGTACTTCAGGCGCTTGCGACCACTGAACTCTGTGATTGCGACACTTGATGTCAGTCAAGGGTTGTCCAGTTCCACTTAACTAAGACAAATAATAACGGCTCGTCGTTGTAAAGCCTTAGGGTGCGTTTACACTGGATGCGACACGCCTATGGTCGCACGTCACAGGTGTTTACACAGCGCTCGTCATTTTAGTTTGATTAATTTCATTCTGCAATGTCTGACCATCAGGAGTAACCCAATTGCATATTCTGATTATTAAATAAAATTAACCAAGTATTCACTACATTGCACTGAACTAATTCCAACTATAGTTTATTATTCAATACGTTTCAACACCCACAGGAAAGCAAACCTGTCACAGAGTATAATAACATTGAACAGTCAGGGGAGTCTTCAAATATAAATATGCATCAAAAATAAATAATACCATTGGGCGTGGAATTTAACCAATAATACTCTAACTTTGTCAACAAAATAATAAATGAATTTGAAATAATGTGTCGCTCGGCCAGAAGAGCCGCGGCTAACTTGTTCCATAATTGAAGTCGACTCGTAACCGAACGAGAGGCCATAAATATGTAAATCCATAAACTCCAGGGTAATCGAACTTCTGTGAAAGTGAACAACAAAAATTTGGGCATATGCAGCCCAATGCAGACATTCTTCAATGGTCATGGCTATTTAGGTTTGAAATCTTGGCTTCGATCACCGCCATTAGATGCATAAAACTCCAATAATTCAAGACTTCTACTTTAGTTGGACTACAGTACGTGGAATTTAAAACTGCGACTTCAGCTCCCAATCCAATATCAATAAAAAACCAAACTTCCGAAAACACACCAGCTTACTTTTGACATCTAATACGATTTTGAATACTCAATTCCTTCCAATAACCCTAACCCACACTACACACGAAAAAAATAACAATTGAGCATACTAAAATCAACTTCCAAGATGTGCGATACATGAATATATAGTGCAATTTAAAGTGGACAGGGAAATTTCAAAATGGCTGGAATATATGGTAGAGCACCATAATGAATTTGGGTTCGCAATATATATTTGAAAATTTACAGAGTTTTAAACCAATCACATCCATGAACAAGTGATTCGAAAATGCACTGACAACAACTTCCAAATATATCACAAGACAAGAGTATGTTTTTTCGTCAGTGTGAATCTTATATGCTTTTTCATTAATATTTCCACATATGGAAGCTAACACTGAAGAAAATCCATAATCTTGTTAACCATGTGGCAAATATTTTGTGCGATTAATTAAGATTGAAACAAATTCCTGTGAAATATGTGGGATTGACCTTGTAAATGCAAGTGGTTTGGAAACACATATTCCACAAGAATGTGGTTTGTCGCCAGTGTGGACTCCCATATGCTTTCTCAAATTCATTCATCTTGCAAAACTCGTTCTACATATTCCACAATAGTATGGTTTTTCGCAAGTGTGAATTCACATATAATTTCAAAGTATTTGGTGTTGCAAAACTATTTCCACATAAAAGAGTTTCGTATTTCTCCATTCATAACACACGATTCTACTAAATTATTACGATTATTGTTTATCCTTGTATGATTTTTCAACATAATTGATTCTTTAACCCTTTCCGTGCGGTGGGCACGTATACGTACCCACGACAAAACTCGCTAGATTGCGGCGGGTACGTTGATGTACTCCACTGTTTTATTTAGCAATCGGTCGCAAACTGTTGGTCTAGTTTTTCCGGGTTTTAGTTTATTGATAAGTAGGCTTCTTCGAGATCAACATAAGCGACGGTAAATCTCGCTTTCGCTTACTATGGGAATTTTATTTGCGTCGGAACGAGGGAGTGTTTTTGAAATTTATGCAAATTTCGGTGTTTTTTGGGTGATAATAGAAGACATATTATCCCTTCCATCTACCAAAGTATTTTGAGTTAGATAACGAAAGTGCTACAGTAATATTATGCTATTGTTTGCCAACCAAGAAGCGGTAACAGTAAAGGATTTAGCGAATATTTCTATTTTTTATCACGGTTTGAAGTTTCAACACCCAAGAAAAAAAAATGCCATCCGGTTTGTGACTCAGACCACCCCTTTTAAAAAAAAAATTTTTTTTAATCGCCAATTGCAAGCTCTTTAAATAAGCTTTCCAACGAGCCGTCAGTGGGCAGCAGAGGATCAATACTTTTTCGTTATTCGGTCGATTAGTTGTGGGGGTACAAATGCATAAAGTCGGCGTAGCAAATACGATTATTTTATAAAAAATAAAAATCGCATGGAAAGGGTTAAAACAATTTTCCAAGAGTGTGTTTTTTTGTCAATGTGGATTCTAGGCTGCTTCCAACTACTAGATGTTGCAAAACTATTTTCCACATAATTCACAAGAACCATGTCTAATGGTGCTAAAAGTATGTTATCGCTCCATGAAAGGAAACCATTATTTAGATGCCAATTTACTATTACAGAATACTGGAATCAAATCCAAACTAACGAATATTATTCTATTTTCAATCGCGGGGATCTAGTAAATGTTGCCGCCACTGTTCAAGATGCTGGACATTTCTACGAGAACCAATCAGATGCTTTTACAATATCATGTGCATTAGCAAAACACATGTATGACTTCACGAGGAAGAAGAGCCATACTCTATAACAGCATGTGTCAAATATTTTCTGTTTCAGTAATTTGAATGAACGTACGCAAAAAAGAAAAAATGTTTCACAGCTGCGGGAAGTTTGTGGCAAACGTTATATGCAATATTCATCAAAATTTAAACTGGAAAAAAAAACTGCAGAAAAGCTATATTCTTGTTATTAATGTGGCAAATGTTTCGCTTGTTTTAATAATTTGGACTGGCGTATGCGAAGACATTGATATTGTGATAATTAATATATGTTTTATGTCTTTTGGAAGAGAGATTCTTTATTACAGAACATTTGTATCAAATCCGAAATATGTTTTTTTTTATTTACAGTGATTATTAAAAAATTTTAAACGGTGTTTGAACACTTGAAACACATGTGCATGTAGTATTGAAGAAACGCATAATCTTATGGAATATGTAGGAAGCGTTTCACTAAAAGTTTGACACACACAGTCACTCACTTGTATTCTCGTAAATCTAGTGGTAAACATTCTGTCAGAATGAAATCCATGTATTTGTGCATTAGTGGAAGAGAAGAAGTTAATACAGGAGAAATCCACATGTATAAA